GGTTGGGGTGGGAGCAGTGAGGAATGGGTGCCGGTAAAGGAGGGGAGCAGGGCAGAGGGGCTGGACAGCCTTGCTAGTGATCTGAGAAGTGTGAGGGTGACTTGCTGGCGTGCGGTGAGGAGAAAGAGTACTTTATCTGTCATTATGTCAGTAAATGGACAGGAGATGACGGGCAAAAATTGAAATGCAAGAAATTCCTTTCCTGTGAGGAAAAACTCTTTTACAGTGAGGGTGGTCAAGTACTGGAGCAGGTTGCCTGGCAAGGTTGCGGTCTCCATCCTCAGTGACATTCAAAGTTCCATTGGATGCAGTCCCACTCTGTGTGACCCCATGTGAGCAGGGATTGGACCAGACCCTCTCTAGAGGTGCCTTCCAACCTGAACCGCCCCGTGATTCTGTGACTTAGGCAATAAAGATACGTGAATGCGATGTGGTTCGGGGTAGCTGTTATTACAAGCGTGTGGGATCATACCCATGTACGACAACCACACACAAATACTAAGAGTGCCTGAAGTCAAATTATATCTTGTATCATCATTGTTTGCACTGTGTGTCTGAGGTAGGTTGGACACGCATTGTACTATAGGGGGGATTCAATGTTTTGTATTGCTAACGCTATTAACACGAGTGTGTACGTTACAGCCAAGAGGGATGGATAAAATCAGTGTCCCAGTGGGCAACGTGCCCTGTATACACCAAACAAATCACGGCCCCTCCCCCAAGGAATTTGGGAAGTAAACAATGGGTGGAAAGTGTGGGGAAGAAGGTGTGCTGGTTTTTTTGTGTCTTACAGTTAGGTAACGGAGGCATGGTGGGACTGACCTCAATATAGCTTCACTGGCTCTAAAAAGGTCTGGATCAGGCCCTAAGTCACGCTCCAGAAATCATCTCTACTGCAGGCTCCCGGGTATCCATAAATATTTTTAGCTGCCTGTCATCTAGGCAGTTGGAATGTCCTCCAGCCCACTGCACACCCAGAAGCGTGTGCAACCTTCACACACCCCGGGCAGAGATTGCAATAGATGGTGTGTACAGGCTTGTTATTTCCGTTTCGGTAACACAAAACCTTAGGAGAACTTTTAAGGTTCAAACCCTGCAAACACATGCAAGAGTGGATGCGTGTGGCGGTGTTGCTCTCGAATAAGCAAGCTACACAGGTCTGTGCTTTTGGGTTGCTGACTCTGAACCATTAGTTTCTGCCACAGTACATTATCAGGCTATTTTGCAGGATAAATTGCCCTGTGGAGCTGCAGGACTGCTAAACTGTAACCTCTGGGGTGGTGGGAGCGGCCCTAAAAGAAACTTTCAAGTTTCTAGCTTGGAAGTTACAGTTTAGGCAATGTATCAGACAAGTCTTACAGTGTGTCAAGATTTGGGTTGCCTGGCTGGCACCGCAAGAGAAACTGCACTACACGCTGTGCCACATAGTGCTTTTGGTTTTCCCGGTGGTGTATATTGTAGGCAAGTGTAGCACCCATCAGTGGTGTTCATCTGAGTAGGGTGAAGGTGCTGGGAAGAGGCTACTGCTCATGTTAATGTTTTATTATTTTGCACATGCTTTTGGTACAGTTCTTCAAGGCACAAATACTTTTCTCCCTCTTCTTCTGATGAGCCCTGAATTGCAGTCACAACTCTGTGTTTGATAGCAGCATGCTCTCAGCAAAAGTGGTTGAGATGAAATGAATGGAGCATAATGATATAATTGTGATCACAAATAAGAGAGGAGGGTTGATTGTGAAGATAAAAAATCCAAGTAAATAACAGTGGCAAATGACAACACTACTATGAAAGTGTTGTTTTGGTTTAATGGACTAAGGCATAAGCAGGAGGCTTTCCGTGATATCGTATTTTCATTTTTAACACCCTTAGCGGTATTATCTTGCTTACTGTAATTTTAGCTTTGACTTAGAAAAATGGCGGTTTTTCTCCGGAGAAATGTCAGCTCTCACCCTATAAAGTGAGTTCTTGAAGTTAGTGAAACACACTCAGGTAACATTAAGTGTTACCTGAAGTAGCTGGAGGACTGATACCGGCACTGAACGCTGATGCTTTTGCATTGCTGAGGTTGGACAAGCCTCCCTGAGCTCATTTGAGTGAAATGGGTTGAACTAATGCGTCTCATTTGACAGTCAGTACTGGCTGGGAGCGTGTTGCTTACGGGGTAGCTCAGGTGATGGACAATAACACAGAATTGTTTGTCACCCATTTGGTTATGACTGTCTGTTGATACCCTTTGTAGGCACATGCAAAAAAATCTGCTGAAAGAGTAGCTCATGTTGATTCAGAGGCAGACCACATGCTGGCACCCGCCTCCTCCCTTACAGCCAGAGCTGCAAATCACATTTTGGGATTAAGGGGGTATAATGCTGCATCCAGGCAAGGAGAAGTGCAGCCCTGCTACCTGGAGTAGCTTCGTCGCCTGCCTCACGCTAAGAGGTTTAGCGAGACTCTTGTTTTCACGTATGCTCTAATGACTTATTCTGTTTGCAAATTGGTCACTTTTGGCTGTGGGTAGGAGACTTCAGAATGGCTGAATTTACCCTGGTCGTGCCCTCTTTGGGAGTGCTGGACAGAGCAGGTCTCGTGATCCTTTGGGTGAAATTTGAGTAAGTTGTGCGTAGTGCTAATCGCAAAATGGAGGCAGGATCAAGCATCACTTCAACATTAAAAAAAAAAAAAAGCCAACACTTAGTCTTGTAGCTTGCTATTGTTGTGCAAGAAAATGTTGTCTTTAAGGAGCTATATACCTGTGTTTGTTTTTAAACAGGAGGTAAGTTAACCCAAGTTCTGTGTCTATTTGTGTGTTTTCTCATCCCATGTCATCGGACATATTGCCCCTCAGCTGACGCAAAAGGTTATTAAAGCATTGATGTACCATATCTGCAGAATGATGCAAAACAGCTTTGTAAAAATGGAAACAGTTCCTGCAGGGTCTTTAGAACGAGGGACTGGCAATTCCCTTTGCATGGGTACCGATTTGTTAGCA